GTCTGCCGGGCCCTGTGGTCACCTCCGGGGCAGGGATCGAACTCATGCTGAAGTGGCTTTGCTTAACCCACTGCGCCGCCAGGAGGGCCCGTTCTCCCTTTTCTGGGGGTCAGGGGGTCTGGGAGGCTGAGAAGCACCTTGGTGCTCTGGGGGGCGTGGCCTTCCCGGGGGAGGGCGAAGGGGAGGGGCCTTTCAGAGAGCCTTCTGTTCACTGGTCATGGCGGAGTACCTGTTCCGTTTATCCTCCAGCCTTGGAGAGCGAGGTGCCCGCGACCCGCTGCCTCTCCAGGCCGCCCCACCGCTCCTTCCATACACTGCAGGTGGGTCACCCGGCCCCGCTGCCCAGCACCTGTGCTCCCTGGCGTCTCTGCTCACATGCACTCAGGGCATGGACAGCGCTCTGCTGGCCCTGGCGCTGGTGTCCACGCAGCAGGATGCAGAACCACCGAACTTGGCTGTTTATTATGAGGTTCGCTTTGTTGCAGGGGTCCGGAGCTGAGCGCCCAGTCTCGCCGAGGAGCTTGGCCCGTGGGGTGTGTAGGCTTTTGCCTCCAGATGACGGGGGTCAGGAACAGCGGCCCCTTCGCTGCCCTGGCAGAGCTGGAAGTGGGGCGCCCAGGCAGCTTGCCGCCACTGCCTCGCCGCTCTTTGAACGCGGCAAGAAGCAACTTCAGTTGTTCAAACTGCTTTTGAGTTTTATGTTCACGTAATCCCGTGTGTTCCTGAGTGACTCACCGCCCTCCGAGAGGGTGGGAGCTCCATCGGCTGGAGACAGTGTGTGGGGGCACCCTCTGAGGTCACTAAGTTGGCCCCTGGGTGTGACTCCAGGAGGGAAGGAGATGGAGGGACCCGTCCGAACAGCACCCTGGGGCACAGGCCGTGGCCCTGGGAACCTGCACGAGAGGTGACCCTGGTCAAGGGCAGCATCTGGGGGTTTTCTGCCCTAGAGCGTCTGCAGTCACCAGAACAGGGCCTGGCTGTGACACGGCGTCACCTGGGGTGGGGTGGGCTGGGCTGGGGTTTGGGCAAAGGGGCTGGGTCCCCAGAACCCCTGCCAACAGCGCCACCGTGTGGCGGAGAGACACAGTGGCACTCTCCCAGGGGCTGGTGCCCAGTCTCCTTTCTGGGCAGGAGGACAGGCCCATCTGGAATCAGTGGAGATTCCAGGGAGGTCCCAACCTTCCTACTCAGCCGACAGGTGTCAGTCCAAGCTAGTTTTCCAACTCACAGGAAAGAAGCAAAAGATGTATACCGTGAATTTACGGACAGTTTGCATCCGAAGCACCGAGGCAGCTCTGGTTCTAAGTGCTTTGTCTTTTCTTTGGTCCCATTAAGAGACGAACGGGCTCACTTTCTGTGAACCTGGCCTCACCAGAGTCCTCTGGGCTGTGAAGCCCTTGTGCTTGCACGTCAGGAGATAACACTTGGTGCTCTGCCTGTTCCCATGGGCTCCGTCACCCACCAGGCTTAGACGCGGAGAGCCCGGTGGGAAGAGGGGTGAGTTCAAGAACCACCCGTCACTTGCAAGTGCGACTTTGATGGTCACAGGCCATGAGCGGATGAGACATGGGAGCTAAGAGGTGAGGATGACTCACTCAAGACTCCCTCCTAGTGCTACAACGCCCCCCAAGACTTAGTCTCAGAAGCAACAAACACGTATCATCACGCACAGCCGAGTGAGACCAGGAATGAGAAGCAGCTGAGCCGGCAGGTGCCGGCTCAGGGCTGTCCCCGGGCTGTGATCTCAGCTGACGCCCCCGGGTCTGGCGGCAGATCTCGGTTCGCTGCCTTGTGGGCTTCCGTGGGGCTTCGCTTCCTGCGGCTGACTGCCCCAAAGCGACAGATCCCCTTGAGATGAGAGGAGGGACGGGGGCGGGGAGAGGCAGAGGGGACGCGGTGATGTCTCTCACAGCCTAACCTCAGCAGTGACTTGCCGTGGCTGCGCCGTGGTGCAGTGTGGGAGGGGCCGCACAAGGCGTGAGCCCCAGGAGGTGGGGGTTCCTGGGCCACCTGGGGGCTGGGCCCCATGTCTCCCAGCTCCTGTAGCCTCAGACTTTGGCCATGGGATGGGATGGGTCGGGTAGCCAGGTTTTGCAACTGACAGTACGGGCTGCCCAGGTAAATGTGAATTTCAGATAAACAACGAAGGCTTTTTTCGTATAAATATCTCCCAAATATTGCGCGACGGCCCTGCCTGGGGCTAGGGACCTAGGAGCCCCAGAGGAGCTACTTGGTGCTGGTTTCCGGACCGTGGCACTGTGCATATGACCCAGATGGGCTGACCTCTGACCTTCCAGCCCCCTCAGCCTCTGAAAGGGCCCCAGGAACTGGGAAGAGAGGTGCCCCCACCGCAGCAGGTGGGGCTCCGGAGGCCTGAGCTGAGGGTCCAGTGGGAGGAGCCTATCTGCTCTAGCCCCACCTGGGGGATGGAGAAACAAGAGGCCTTTCAGACTAGACACAGAGGGGCCTCCCAAACCAGCCCTGTGGCAGCCTCCCTGGCCCCTGGCGCCTCCCATTGGTCCCGCCTCACACCCTGGCCCAGTCACCTGCACCCCAGCCTAGCGCAACCAACTGGCTCAAGTCTCTGAGCCAGGTGCCGCCTCCCTGGAACCCCTGTCCATGTGGCTACTTGGCAGCTTTGGGCTGGGCCTCTGCCCACCCGCCTGGGCCCATCCCCTCAGGGGGCAAGGCAGACCCACCTAGATGAAGCGCCTGTCCTGCTCTTGGTAGGAGAAGGGGTCCCCGGGGAAAGGCTGAGGGGGAGGCTGGTTGTAGGCTCCCTGCAGGAAGATCCAGGCTGTGCCCACCACCATGACAGGTGTGACCACAAACAGGCAGAGTCGGTCCACCGTGCGGGCCACCAGGTTCCAGCAGTCCTTCTCCTGTGGCGAGGGGCAGAGACGGGGTGAGGTGGACTCTCCGGCCCCAGACCCACACCCCCCAGCTGGCACCCAGAGACAGAGGCACGGCCTCAGGGCACCTGTGGGGCTGCCCCGGGCTTGCAGCGGGTGGGACCGGCCACTGTGTCCCCAGCAAGAGCCTCGGACCCCCGACACAAGCGGGGCGCCCATTTCATCTGCCTCGAGACAAAGAGCAGGGCCACAGCTGCCCTCCCCATTCCAATGCAGGGCCGGGGTGCTGGGGAGAGCTTGGGGCTAGGAGTCTGTCTCAGGGCTCAAAGGAAGGTGGGTAGGCCCCCCCCTCCCTCTCAGCCCCTTAGCCACTGGCACCCCGGTCCCCCCTTTTAAAAGCAAACAACAGGCTGCCGTGTCCGGATCTCGGCCGTCCAGGCCCAGACCGAGCGGGCGTCATAGCAGCTCAGAGGCCAGGAGATGGTCGAGAAATGGCTGGGCAGAACGGGCAGCTCTCTGTCACCAGGGACACAGCCCGCTGGACCTGCAGACCAAGGAGCTGTGCACGCACCCCACCCCCCACCCCCAGGGGGCAAGGGGACCTGCAGGGCCAGGTGAGCCCGGGCTGACGGAGAACGACGACGCGGACAAATCAACAAGAGGCCGAAGCGGATTACAAGCGTGGACGCGCTGGTCCTATAACCATGCGCTGGGCACTGGGAGCCGCTGGCTTCAAGCTCTGGGGGAAGGACACTGGGAACCGATCGGGAAGAGGCCCAGGCCACAGGAACACAAAGCCGCCGTGTGTGCTGGCTGCTCTCATCCGGCAGGTGCTCCTAGCCACCAGCACCAGCACGGGTCCCCCCACACGGCCCAGAGGAACACGGGGTGCTAGCCCCCCCACCTGGGATACTCCCCACCGGCACTCCCTGTCAACAAACAGGACCGAGCCTTGCGGAGTGAAAAAAGAAATAAAACCGCCATCCGTGGTTGCCGCAGGGACAGAAAGTGATAGGCAGCCGGAAGAAAGGAGAGGCCGGAGGGCGGCCAGCTCTGGCCCTGCAGAGACCACTCCTGCATCTCGGTGGGCGGGGCCCCTGAGCCAGGACACGCTGGGGCAGTGAGGCCACTCACCTCGTTGTAGTTGTTCTGGTCCCGCATGTGGCTGATGATGAAGTTGGCCCCGTCCACGGCCGGCTTCATCTCGCTGAGGAGGTCCTGCTGGGCCTGCTCCGAGGCTGCCGGGGGCCGGCCTGTGGACACCAGACCAGCGGTGGGCGCGAGGCCCCCCCGCCGCTCCCCCGCCCGCGCCCACGTGGGCCAGCACAAGCCCTGGGGCACCCACGTGCGCTGGTGAGGCGCCGGGCCAGCCCGTGCCGCTCTGACTGCTTCTCGAACATGAGGTCGCTTCGGGACTTGAGAGAGAAGTACTCTTCGGCCTTGGAGATGTAGCCCAGGGAGCTGGTCCGGCGGACCAAGGCCCCGGGGCTGGGCCCGTCCTGCGCCGGGCGGGACATGTACAGCAGCCTGGGCAGGGTCTCCAGGAAGAGCTGCGGCGGGCGGGGACGTGGAAAGGTCAGCTGGCCAGCCTGGCCGTTCCCGACTCCAGCCCAGCGGCCCTGAGCACCGCCCGCCGTCGGTGACCCCCGCCCCTGCGGATGGGCCTTCCGTTGCCCCAACTCCATTACTCAGGCACAGGGCAGAGCCTCCGCGGACATACGGGAAACCAAAAGTAAGAAAATACCCCAGATGCTGAGCGTCCTCCTCGAATGCTTAAAGACCCAAAAAGTTGCTAAACCACCACGCGGCCCACGAAGCCAGGTGGCCCCTGTGGCGACTGAGAGGCAAGGCCCGTCTCCTTCGGCCCGGCCCCAGGTCCTCCCTTCTGTTAATGGAGGAACAACAGACACAGGCCCAGCCTCCCCTTAGGGGGAGGTGAATTTTGACAGAAGCACCCAAGCATGTGAACACCCCCTTAGTGAGCTATCAGACCTCATCCCCGCCCGCAGAGGTAACCTCCACCTGGACTCCTATCACTGAAGGCTGGTTCTGTCTGCCCTGGAACTTCACAGAAGTTCCGTTCTGTCTGGCTTCCTGTAAGGATCTGTCTAGGAGGGCCATCCGGGGGCATGCACAGCAGTGGGGGGGGGGCTTCGGCCCCTGTCGTGGGTGCTTGCCAGGAGGGTCCAAGAGGGCCAGAGAGAGGACTCCCTGCAGGAGCGCGCCCCTGGCTCCTTCCAGGGGATCTGATCTGGACAGTCCCCAGCCTTCGGCTGCGAGAGCTCTCACCTTCTTGACCCCCTCGGACAGCACGTGGGTGCTGGGTGTGCGGAAGTGGATGTTGAGCACGATGACACAGATCACCACGACCATGGTCACCAGCACCATGCCGAAGAGCAGGAACCTGCGGACAGGCAGAGCCTGGAGACCCCGCATGCGCGAGGGGGCGTGGTGCGGGGCGTGGCCGGGTCACTCACTTGCCAATCAGGGGGATGGCCATGGACGTAGGGGGCAGCCGCTTGGAGATGAGCAGCAGGAAGACGGACTGGGCCAGGAGCACTGAGATGGCCACTGACGTCTTCTCACCACCTGGGGGAGCCCAGACTTGGCTGCAAGCGCGCCGCGCCCCCCCTCCTCCCGGAGGGCCCCTCCTCCCGGAGGGCCCCACTGCGGTCCCAGCGCTACCGTGCAGTGCCATGATGCCGGATCAGTGGCCTGGGCCATGGCGCTAGCGTGCCCGGTTCGAGTCTTGCCTCGGCCCCTTACCGGCTGGCTGACCTTGGGCTAGTGGGCAAACCTCTCTGTGCCACAGCCTTTCGCTGTTAAACCCTGCGCTCCTCTGTCCACCGGCGGCCTTGGCTGCCCCCTGCCGCTCAGGCCTCCTGAACCACGTGGGCTCAGAAAGCTCCTGGCATGCTCGGTGCTCCGGGACCACCTCACTGCAGCTGGGAGACCCCGCAGGCCCTTCTGCTTCTCCTACTTGAACCCCAAGGCAGGAAGGTGGAGGCCGGGTGCAGTCCCTACCTCTTCCCTGTCTGCCAGGCCCCTCCCAGCCTGGCTCTGCTCAAGCACCCCAATCCCAGGAAACCGCCCCCCACCCCACCCCCAGGCCTGGCTGCTCCTTCTATTTCTTTCCTTTTTTAAGATTTATTTATTTATGCACACAGAACTGGGGTGCAGGCCAGAGGCGCAGGGGGTGAGAGGAGTCACCAGAGACAGAGGGGGGAGCAGAACCAGCAGACTGACTGCAACACACTGCTGAGGGGAGCAGCGGGGAGACAGGAGAGGGCTGCGCCAAGTGGGTCACCCCTGGTCGGGGATCGAACTCTTGCTGCAGTGGCTGCGGACAGCTTCCTAGCGCTGAGACTAACCCCTGCACCACCAGGGAGTCCCTGCTCCTGCAGCTTCTGCGGCTTCTGCCAGCTGCAGAGTTGCGTGGCCTTTCTCTCAGCACCCACGGTGCCTGGCTCGTGGGGGAGCCAAGTGAGCGTCCATCACAGGTGCCCTTCTGGAAGCAGATGGGTGTAGGCTGCGTGGCCCCTGCCCTGGCTCCCCAGAGACCCCCTTATTGACATTCAGTGCCTCTTGGGTGCCGAGCCCACAGTCACACGTGGTGACTTGGCAGACCCTTTCTCTGCCCTAAGGTGGCACAGATTGGCGGTGTTCCCCAGGGTCCTGTTAGGAGGCAGGAGTAGTGTCCACGAGCTCCCGGGGACGCCGGACAGGGTCTCAGGGCCCCCCTCTCCTCCCGGCTGGCCGTGTGCCCTTCCTGCCTGGACCCCGGGCGGGCAGCCCCGGGAGCGGAGACCTCAGTGGGTGCCAGGAGGGGCAGGCGGGGCAGCCCCGGGTGGGGGGGTTGGGGCTCACTGTCGGCCGGCAGGTAGAAGACCAGGTTGACCATGAAGGAGATGAGCACGCAGGGCACCAGGATGTTGATGACGTAGAAGAGGGGCTTGCGGCGGATGATGAGGTAGAAGGTGACATCCTGCTGTCCGGGGCTGTCCCGCGGGACGCTGGGGTCCATGTTGACCCGGGCCGGCCGGTGCACGATCTCCCACTCCCCGTTCTCTGAGGGCGACAGGGGGCACCTTGCAGTTGGCCAGCCCAAGGGGCCAGGGGACCTGGGACAGGAGGGGGCCTGGGGGCATGAGCTGGGGCAGGAGAGGTGGGCGCGCGCAGACTAGACGTCTCGGGGTGCAGACTCGGCCCGCCTGAGAGACACACGCCTGGCAACACCAGCTCAGCCCTGGGGGCTTGTGTCCAGGGCAGAGGCAGGAAGGGGCCCGGGGCCAGAAGACCTGGGGCCAGAAGCGGGGGCAGGTGCAGAGGGGTGAGATGGAATTTCAGCCTGGCCGGGGAATTCCCTCTGGGGCTGGCTTCCTTCCTGTCTTTGGAAAGAGCAGAGCGGAGATCAAAAGTGGCTCAAACCGGAATCTCGGGGATAGCTAGGCCGTGACAGTGACACCCCATCCCACGCGGTGTTCAGTCTGGGCCAGCGGACGTAGGGCTCCCTAGTGGACAGGAGCACACAGCGGGATCCCACAAAAGACGGGGGGTGGGGGACGCTGGGAGGGGACAGCACACACCCACGGGCAGGGACACCATCGCTTTCCTTACCCGGCGGCCCCCCACCCCCAGAGGTCCCGCTCAGACCCAGAAGGTCTTCTGGCCCGGGGGCCCCTTCCTGCCTCTACCCCGGGACATGAACCCCCCAGTGCTGGGCTGGTGTCGCCGAGTGTGTCTCTCAGGGCAGCGTGTCCACTCCGCCGTGTCTGCGCCGCGAGCCCCGGTCTCCTGCGCGCACGGCCTCTCGGGGGGCCTGGCCCTGCCCGCCCACCAGGCGCGGCCGGCACCTGTGAAGCCCTCGGGGTCTATGATGATCCACTCCACGGGGTAGGAGCGGCCGTTCTCTTCCTCCTGCTTCAGGCTCAGGGTGATCTCCTTGGCCGTGTACTTGAGCGAACTGCGGGGGCAGTGGCCACAGGGCCTGGGTCACTGGCGGGGAATCGCCGTCGACGGAGATGCTACTAAAGGGGGTCTGGTCCGAGCGGGGCCCTGGGGGGCAGGGCACTGGTAACAACACAGCCAGGCTCTGACCCGGGGGCGTCACTCGTGTCGCTCGGCCCACGCAGCGCACCTGAACTTGAGCGAGCAGTTCTGCCAGTCGAAGGGGAAGTAGGTGACGGAGATGGGGCAGGAGGAGCGGAAGATGGCGGGCGGCAGCCAGTACACATAGCCCGAGGGGTAGACGAGCACGTTGCAGGAGTAGGAGATCTGGAAGGAGCCGTCGTTGCTGGGGGACAGGGACAGGGCCCCTGTGAGCAGCGCTCCAAGCTGGCATGGTTGGGGGAGGGGAGGGAAGGGAGGGCAGTCAGAAGCTTGGAGCCCGAGGGGCACTCGAGGCGGGGTGGGGCGGGGAGGCCAACTTGTTCTCCAGCACGATCTCTGGGAGCCACAGCATGTCAGGCGGCAGGCGCAGGACGCTGATGTTGCCGAAGTCTTCCATGTTCCACTGCAGCCGGGGGTCTGTCCAGCCCTGGAAGCCCCAGCACCGGTCAGCAGCGGGCCCTGCTGCTGCCCCCTGCTGCACCCTGGGGGCGCTGACTAGGCCTGGAAGCGGGCACAAGAGAGGTCTGCGGGAGGTGGGTGAGAACGAGGCCTGGCGTCGCCCACGGGCGGGTGCAGTGAGCAGCTACGGGCCGTCAGTCCCGCGGACT